AATTTTATATTAAGTACAAGAAGAGGCTTAATTCAAAGTAAACAACTAATGTAACAAAGACCAGAGGACCAGGCATGGTGGCATACACCTGTAATCCTAGCTACTTGGGAGGCTGAGGCAGGAGGATCAAATGACCCCAGGAGTTTGAAGCTATACTGGATAACATAGCAAGACTCCAGCTCTAAAATATAATTAAATAAATACATTTAAAAAGCAAAACAAATAAACAAAAAGGCCAGGCATGGTGGCTGACGCCTGTAAGCCCAGCAGTTTGGGAGATTGAGGTGGATCACCTGATGTCAGGAGTTCGAGACCAGTGTGGCTAACATAGCGAAACCCCATCTCTACTAAAAATACAAAAATTAACCTGGTATGGTGGCACGCACCTATAGTCCCAGCTACTCGGGAGGCTAAGGCAGGAAAGTTGCTTGAACCTGAGATGCAGAGGTTGCAGTGAGCCAAGATCACACCACACTGCACTCCAGTCTGGGCGACACGGTGAGACTCCGTCTCAAAAAGAAATTCAGACTGGTTGGGCACAGTGGCTCAGGTCTGTAATCCCAGCACTTTGGGAGGCTGAGGCAGGAGGATCATTTGAGGTCGGGATTTTAACATCAGCCTGGCCAACACAGTAAAAAACCATCTCTATTAAAAATATAAAAATTAACTGGGTGTGGTGGCACATACCTGTAATCCTAGGTACTCAGGAGGCTGAGGCGTGAGAATTACCTGAACCCAGGAGGCAGAGGTTGCAATAAGCTGAGATCGTGTCACTGCACTCCAGCCTGGGCAACACAGCAAGACTGTCTCAAAAAACAAAACAAAACAAAAAACACCCAAACCGACTATTTTGAAGCAGTGAAATAATCTTGTAAAATGTAATTCCAGTTCTGGAAGAGTTGTCAGAGTATCCCTATGAAAACTGAGATTAAAGAATTATCAATGTCATAACTGATTCATTTCTAATTACATGTAACTTAAATTATTAACTCTTTATTACACTACCTTTGCATGCTTCAGTTCTAACTCTGCCAGTTCCACTAAATTTTTTCTGAATGCAGCAACTCTTCTTGTTTTAAAATCTATAAGTTCTGTGAACAAAGAAATTAGAATTATTTAATTTACAGAATAGTCATAAAGCATACCTTGTGATTAAAGGTTAACATAACAACAGTACCTTGTTTGGCAGACTCAGATATTTTTTCAAATTTCTGACAACATAATTGTTGGGAAGTTTCAGCCTGCAGAACATCTTTATTTTTTGCTCTTGCTTTATCCAGTGCTTTATTAGCATTTTCATAATCCACTAGTGACCTGGACCTTCGATACAGGAGATCCTGTGAAACAGAATGCTTCACAATAGTATATATACTGTATGTTTCCAGTAGTCACACCCAGCCGCCGTCACCACCATCACAACCATCAGTACTAACACTTACACAGTGAACGCTACATGCCAGTTACTCTAAATTTTTAAAGATTTTTGTAGAGATGGGACCTTGCTATGTTACCCAGAGAGGTCTCAAAACTCCTGGCCTCAAAGTGATCCTCTTGTTTCAGCCTCCTAAAGTGGACTGATTACAGGCATGAGTCACTGCACTCAGCCCTTTTTTTAAATAACAGCTTTAATGAGATAATTGATATACCACATAATTCACCATTTAAAGTATATAATTCATTGTTTTTTAGGAAGCTCACAGAATTGAGCATCACCACAACAGATTTTGGAACACTTTCATCACCCAAAGAGAAACCACATCCCCATTAACAGCCATTTGCCACTTCCCCATGTGTGCCCATCCCTAGACAACCACTAATATGCTACCTCTACAGATTTGCCTATTCTGGACATTTCATATAAATGTCATCATGTGTGTTTTTTGTGCCTGGCTTCTACCACTTAGCATGTTTCAAGTTCATCTATGTTGCAGCACAAATCGGTATGTCCCTCCTTTCTATTGCTGAATAATATTTCCCTATATGGATATATCACATTGATTTATTCATTCATCAGTTGATAAGCATTTGGTTTATTACCACTTTTTGGACATAATGAATAATGCTGCTGTCAACATTTGCACACAAGTGTTCATGTGGGCATGGTTTCATTTCTCTTTCATTTCTCACTACTGAGGAGTGAAATTGCCGAGTCATATGATAACTCTACATCAAATCTTTGAGAAACTACAATATGGTTTTCCATAGCGGCCGAACATTTTACATTCCGACCAGTACCATATGACAGTTCCAATTTCCTCACATCTTTGCCAATACTTATTTTAATTTTTATTTATTTTACTTAAATTCAAACATACTGCAAGATATTTATTTTATTTTTTTGAGACAAAGGCTTGCTCTGTCGCCCAGGCTGGAGTGTAGTAGCATGAGCCTGGCACACTGCAACCTCCGCCTCCTGGGTTCCAGCGATTATACTGCCTCAGCCTCCCGAGTCGCAGGGATTACAGGTGCCCACCACCATGCCTGGCTAATTTTTGTATGTTTAGCAGAGATGAGGTTTCACCATATTGGCCAGGCTGGTCTCGAACTCCTCACCTTATGATCCACCCCCCTCAGCCTCCCAAAGTGCTGGAATTATAGGCATGAGTCACCGCGCCCAGCCTTCTTTTTCTTTTTTTTTTTTTAGATGAGGTTTCACCATGTTGGCCAGGCTGGTCTTGAATTCCTGACCTCTGGTGATCCACCCACCTCGGCATCCCAAAGTGCTAGGATTACAGGCGTGAGCCACCACACCCAGCCAGCCTTTTAAATTAAGGTCACCTAGTGGGTATAAAGTGGTATCTCATACTTTTTTTTTTTTTTTTTCCCCTGGGATGGAGTCTTGCTCTGTCATCTAGGCTGGAGTGCACTGGTGCAATCTCGGCTGACTGCAACCTTTGCTTCCCAGGTTCAAGCAATTCTCTGCCTCAGCTTCCTTAGTAGCTGGGATTACAGGTGCCTGTCACCACGCCTGGCTGTTTTTTTGTCTCTTTAGTAGAAACAGGGTTTCATCATGTTGGCCAGGCTGGTCTCAAACTCCTGATTTCAAGTGATCCACCCACCTCGGCCTCCCAAAGTGCTGGGATTACAGGTGTAAGCCACCATGACAGGCCTATCTGATACTTGTGATTTGCATTTTCCTGACAGCTTGTGAGCATATTTTCATGGTTTAACGGCCATTTGTGTATCTTCTGTGCAAAGTCCTTTGCTCATTTTTAAATTGGGTTGTTTCTCTTTTTACTGAGTTTAAGAGTTCTTCATATATTCTGATTATATAAATTGTGTTACATCCAGACAATGGAATATTATTTAGCACTAAGAAATGAGCTATCAAGCCATGAAAAGACTTAAGTGTGGCCAGGCACGGTGGCTCATGCCTGTAATCCCAGCACTTTGGGAAGCCGAAGCAGGTGTATCACCTGAGGTCAGGAGTTCAAGACCAGCTTGGCCAACACAGTGAAACTCCGTCTTTACTAAAAATACAAAAAATTAGCCCAGTGTGGTGGCATGCACCTGTAATCCCAGCTGCTCAGGAGGCTCAGGCAGGAGAACCACTTGAACCTGGGAGGCAGAGGTTGCAGTGAGCCGAGATTGCGCCATTGCACTCCAGCCTGGGCAATAAGAGCGAGACTCTGTCTCAAAAAAAAAAGGAAAATCTTAAGTACATATAAGTAAGCTCAACAAGCCAATCTGAAAACGCTATATACTATATGATTCCAATTCTGTAACATTCTCGAAAAAGCAAAACTATGGAGACAGTAAAAAGATCAGTGTTGGCCAGGGATTGGGGGAAAGGAGAATGAATGTGGAGAGAGCACAGAGGATTTTTAGAACAACGAAAACACTATGTAGAATACTATAATGGTGGATACATGTCATGCATCCATAGCATATTTCTTTTTCTAACTTTTTTTGAGATGGAGTCTTACTCTATTGCCCAGGCGGGAGTGCAGTGACATGAGCTCGGCTCACTGCAACCTCCACCCCTCAGGTTCAAGTAATTCTCCCACCTCAGCCTCCCAAGTAGCTGGAATTATAGGCATGCACCACCGCACCTGGCTACTTTTTAAAAATATTTTTAGCAGAGACTGGGTTTTATCATATTGGCCAGGCTGGTCTCAAACTCCTGACTTCCGGTGATCCACCTGCCTTGGCCTCCCAAAGTGCTGGGATTACAGGCATGAGCCACCGTACTTGACCAGCACATTTCTTTTTATTAGGTGGTACTATTCCATTGTAAGGCAGATGATGATGTGCTTATCTCATCATCCATTGGACATTTGCGTTGTCAGTTTTCAGCTAAATAAATATACATATATTTATATAGTTATAAATAAAGCTGCTGTGAACATCTGTATGGATATATGCTTTTATTTCTTTCTTTCCTTCTTTTTAATAGAGATAGGATCTTGTTATGTTGCCAGGCTGGTCTTGAATTCCTGGCCTCCAGCCATCCTCCTGCCTTGGCCTCCCAAAGTGCTGGGATAACAGGGGTGAGCCACCACACCCAGCCCTGCTTTCATTTCTCTTGAGTAAATACCTACGAGTGAACTGACTAGATCACAGGATAGTATATTTCACTTTTTAAGTACTATGAATGTTTTCCAAGGTACTGTACCACATTCCCACTAACAGTATATGGTGGTTCCAGTCGCTATGTAACTTCGCCAGAATTTTCATTTTAGTCATTCTAATTAAAGTGTGTAGTAGCCGGGCGCGGTGGCTCACGCCTGTAATCCCAGCACTTTGGGAGGCCGAGGCGGGTGGATCACGAGGTCAAGAGATCGAGACCATCCTGGTCAACATGGTGAAACCCCGTCTCTACTAAAAATACAAAAATTCAGCTGGGCATGGTGGCGTGTGCCTGTAATCCCAGCTACTCAGGAGGCTGGGGCAGGAGAATTGCCTGAACCCAGGAGGCGGAGGTTGCAGTGAGCCGAGATCGCGCCATTGCACTCCAGCCTGGGTAACAAGAGCGAAACTCCGTCTCAAAAAAAAAAAAAAAAAGTGTGTAGTAATACTTCGTTGTAGTTTTAATTCTGACAACTAAGTTTTAATTATTTCTTACAGTTACTAAGAAATTGTTATGTATTAGTAACCACATTTGGCTGGCAACAGTGGCTCACACCTATAATCCCAACACCTTGGGAGGAAGAGGGAGCATCACTTGAGCCCAGCAGTTTGCAACATACTGAGACACGTGTCTCTAGAAAAAATTAAAACAAAAAAACCCACACATTTGATAATAAATTTAAAGTCTTCAAAAGTGAGTATTTTAGCACTGCCCATCCAATCTAAATCGTTTGTAAGACACAATTTGATATGAACAGTGCATTTATAAGTACCTCAGAATTCAAAGTTGGCTGAGTGTGGTGGCTCATGCCTATAATCTCAGCACTCTGAGAGGCCGAGGCAGACGAATCACCTGAGGTCAGGAGTTTGAGACAAGCCTGGCCAACATGGCAAAACCCCGATTCCACTAAAAGTGTAAAAATTAGCCGGGCATGGTGGTGCGTGCCTATAATCCCAGCTTCTCAGAAGGCTGAGGCAGGAGCATCACTTGAAGGTAGAGGTTGCAGTGAACCAATATTGTGCTACTATACTCCAGCCTGGGCAACAAGAGCAGGATTCCATCTCAAAAAAAAAAAAAAAAAAAAAAAAAAAAACCAGGCGCAGTGGCTCACACCTGTAATTCCAGTAATTTGGGGGGTCGAGGCAGGTGGTTCACGAGGTCAGAAGATTAAGACCATCCTGGATAAATGGTGAAACCTCATCTCTACTAAAAATACAAAAAATTAGCCAGGTGAAACCTCGTCTCTACTAAAAATATAGAAAATTAGCCAGGCAGGGTGACATGTTCTTGTAGTCCCAGCTTCTTGGGAGGCTGGGGCAGGAGAACTGCTTGAACCTGGGAGGCAGAGGTTGCAGTGAGCAGAGATTGAACCACTGCTCTCCTGCCTGGGTGACTGTCTCAAAAAAAAAAAAAAAAAAGAAATCCAGCTGGGCACGGTGACTCATGCCTACAATCCCAGCACTAAAAAAGTACAAAAAATTAGTCAGGTGTGGTGGTGGGTGCCTGTAGTGCTAGCTGCTCGGGAGGCTGGGGCAGAAGAATCACTTGAACCTGGGAGGTAGAGGTTGCAAGGAGCTCAGATTGCACCACTGCACTCTAGCCAGGTAACAGAGCAAGATTCCGTCTTGAACAAAAAAAAAAGAAAGAAAAAGAAAAAGAAAAAAGAAATTTTTTTGCAATATGTGGCTCATGTCTGTAATCCCAGCACTTTGGGAGGCTGGAGCAGGTAAATCACCTAAGGCCAGGAGTTCAAGACTAGCCTGGCCACAGAAGGAAACCCCGTCTCTACCAAAAATACAAAAATTAGCTGGGCGTGGTGGCATTCGCCTGTAATCCAAGCTATCCAGGTGGCTGTGGCAAGAAAACCGCCTGAACCCAGGAGGCGGAGGCTGCAGTGAGCCAAGAGACTGTGCTCTAGCCTGGGTGACAGAGTGAGACTCCATCTCAACAACAACAACGGAATCCTTTCATAATACGTGGCTACATGGCTCATGTCTTTGGGAGGCCAAGGCAGGTGGATCACCTACGGTCAGGAGTTTGAGACCAGACTGGTCAACATAGGGAAACCACGCCTCTACTGAAAATACAAAATTTAACTGGGCATGGTAGTTCGAGCCTGTAATCCTAGCTACTCGGGAGGCTGGGGCAAGAAAATTGCTTGAACCCTGGAGGTGGAGGTTGCAGTGAGCAGAGATACTACACTCTAGCCTGGGCGACAGAGTGAAACTCCATCTCAAAAAAATCATAATAAATAATAAATAAATAAGAAAGAAATCCTTTAGCAATACAACTGTTATTTGAGGGTTTTACTTTTGTTTTCCAAGGCAGTTTACCTGAAGAAATATACCAAATTCTTTTCCTTTTTTTGAGACAGAGTATCACTCTGTTGCCCAGGCTGGAGTGCAGTGGCATGATCCTGGCTCACTGCAACCTCTACCTCCCAGGTTCAAGCTATTCTCCTGCCTCAGCCTCCCGAGGAGCTGGGATTATAGGTGCCCGCCACCATGCCCAGCTAATTTTTGTATTTTTAGTAGAGATGTGGTTTTGCCATGTTGGCCAAGTTGGTCTCAAACTCCTGACCTTCGGGTGATCCGCCCATCTCACTGCCTCAGCCTCCCAAAGGGCTGGGATTACAGGCATGAGCAACCTCCCCAGGCCTCATTTTTTTTTTTTGAGTTGGAGTTTCACTCTTACCCAGGCTGGAATGCAACATCACTATCTCGGCTCACTGCAACCTTCACCTCCTGGGTCAAGCGATTCTCCCCGCTCAGCCTCCTGTGTAGCTGGGATTACAGGAACCTACCACCATACCCAGCCAATTTTTGTACTTTTAGTAGAGACAGGTTGTTTTTTTTTTTTTTTTTTTTTTTTCTTTTGAGATGGAGTCTTGCTCTGTAGCCCAGGCTGGAATACAGTGGCGTGATCTCAGCTCACTGCAACCTCCACCTCCCGGGTCCTGGTTCAAGCAATTTTCCTACCTCAGCCTCCCAAGTAGCTGAGATTACAGACACAAGCCACCATGTCCAGCTAATTTTTGTAGTTTTTTAGTAGAGATGGGGTTTCACCATGTTGGCCAGACTGGTCTTGAACTCCTGACCTTGTGATCCACCCGCCTCGGCCTCCCAAAGTGCTAGGATTACAAGCATGAGCCACTGTGCCCGGCCTGAGACAGGGTTTTACCATGTTAGCCAGGCTGGTCTTGAACTCCTGACCTCAGGTGATCCGCCCACCTTGGTCTCCCAAAGCGTAGGGATTACAGGTATGAGCCACCACACCTGGCTGCAAATTCACCTTTTTAAAGTTCTAGATTACATCAGAAATATAATAAAGAGGAAACTTTTATGTGGGGTTTCCCACATAAAATACGTACAATTGTACACATACCTACAATTTCTAAAAGGAGAAATAAAATTTCTATTTGAAAATATACTTTAAAATCATATAAAGGAGATAAATTCATCATTAACAATCTGAAGTCTAACAAACTCTCAAGAAATGGCTGTTTATAAAATGGCTTATTTTAAAAAAGATTAAAATTACCTTAGCAGCTTGAGATTCTCTTAAGTAATATTTTAAAAGGTCAGAAAGTTTGAGGTCCTCATCAGCAGACACTCGTGCTTCTATTTTCTGAAAAAAAGAAAAAAATTAAGCTCTTAATCAACAACTACATTCTAGTCTCAGTGGTTTCCTTCTTTACTTAATTTCCGACTTAATTTTAACTATTACAGTTAAAAAAAAAATTGAAGTTTTAACTGTAATACCCATTCCTATTTTATCCACCTTTCCTTTCCTTTTTGCATTTATTAACCTGTTACTTTTCTTTGCAACTCTCACATAAAAGGAACAGAAAAAAAGACCAGATCAAAGACTCATGAAATTATGGAAGGACTCTATAATTTTTTTTTTTTTTTTTTGAGAGAGAGAGTCTCGCTGTAACCTAGACTGAAATGCAGTGGCGCAATCTCTGCTTACTGCAACCTCCACCTCCCGAGTTCAAGCAATTCTCCTGCCTCAGCCTCTTGAGTAGCTGGAATTATAGGTAGGCACCACCATGTCTGGCTAATTTTTGCATTGTTAGTAGAGGTGGGGTTTCACCATGTAGGCCAGACTGGTCTCAAACTCCTGACCTCAAGAGATCCGCCTGCCTCAGCCTCCCAAAGTGGTGAGATTACAGGTGTGACCCACCACACCCGGCCAGACTCTATATTTGATTCAAGTACTTTGCTATAATGAGTTTCAGTATCATCTTTAAGCTTCATTAATATTTTCTCAGGCCACTGCACTCCAGCACTTTTTCTCAAAAAAAAAAAAATAAAAAATTTCTCTCTATGCATTTCTTGTTTTTTGAGACGGAGTCTTGCTCTGTTGCCAGGCTGGATTGCAGTAGCGTGATCTTGGCTCACTGCAACTCTCCCTCCTGTGTTCAAGCTATTCTCCTGCCTCAGCCTCCCAAGTAGCTGGGATTACAGGTGCACTGGGCTAATTTTTTTTGTATTTTTGTAGTAGAGACAGGGTTTTGTCATGTTGGCCAGGCTGGCCTCAAACTTCTGACCTCAGGTGATCCACCTGCCTTGGCCTCCCAAAGGGCTGGGATTACAGGTGTGAGCCACTGTGCCCAGCCTCTATTCATTTCAATTGTAATTGATATGTACACAGAATTTTAAAGGAATGATGGCTGGCACTGGTAGACTAGGTAATTCAATCTAATCCCCTTGCTGAGGACAGCCAGAAAATTCAGTCAAAGCATTAATAAAATGTGCTTGAAGACACCACAGAACAATAAACAGATGTAGTATGTTTGAGGTGAGATGAAAGGGGAAGTAGCCAGGTAAGACTGAAAAGATAGCTCTTCAGTATGAAGGGACAGAGGATGAAAAAAAATGTATCAAGCAAATGAAATATATGGGACCTTGTTTGTATCCTGACTCAAACTATACTATAAAAAGCCATTTATAAGACAATTGGTAAAATGTATACACTGGATATTTGATGACATTAAGGGGGAATGATTAGTAACAGTATTAACTATTACTAATACATATACACATATATATTTTTTTTTTCTTTTTTTTTTTTTTTTTTGAGACAGAGTTTCACCCTTGTTGCCCAGGCTGGAGTGCAGTGGCGTGATCTTGGCTTACTGCAACCTCTGCCTCCCGGGTTCAAGCAATTCTCCTGCCTCAGCCTCCCGAGTAGCTGGGATTACAGGCATGCGCCACCATGCCTGGCTAATTTTGTATTTTTAGTAGAGACAGGGTTTCTCCATGTTGATCAGGCTTGTCTTGAATTCCCAACCTCAGGTGATCCACCTACCTCAGCCTCCCAAAGTGCTGGGATTACAGATACGAGCTACCATACCCAGCCAAAAATAATTCTTACACACAAAAAAAGAGACAGGTGTGCATGAAGGACACAAAACAAAATGAAGACGGACTTTCTGGAATACAAGAACTTTAAGCAATGTAGAAAATGTTAATATTGATAAGGTGTAGTGGCTCATGTCTGTAATCCCAGCTTGGCCAACATGGTGAAACCCCGTCTCTACTAAAAACACAAAAATTAGCCAGGAGTGGCAGCACACGCCTGTAATCCCAGGTACTTGGGAGGCTGAGGCAGGAGAATCGCTTGAGTCCAGGTGGTGAAGGTTGCAGTGAGCCAAGATTGCACCACTGCACTCCAGCCTGGGTGACAGAGCAAGACTCTGTCCCAAGTAAAAGAAGAGAAGAAAAATGTTACTATTCAGAAACATGGTTAATACATTACAGAAATTCTTGTACTATTTCTGCAACTTTTCCGTAAGTCCAGAATTACTGTCAAGATAAAAAGTGAAAATAAGGCCGGGTGCCTTAGTAAGGCTCACGTCTGTTAATCCCACCACTTTGGGAGGCTAAGGTGGGTAGAACACTTGAGGTCAGGAGTTCGAGACCAGCCTGGCCAACATGGCAAAATCTCATCTCTACTGAAAGTACAAAAATCAGTCGGGCATAGTGGCTACTTGGAAGGCTGAGGCAGGAAAATCACTTGAACCCGGGAGGCAGAGGTTGCAGTGCACTGAGACCACATCACTGCACTCCAGCCTGGACGACAGAGACTCCATCTCAAATGAAAAAAAAAAAAAAAAGCTAAACTAAAACTATACACCCAGCAGAATGGCAAAAATTAAAACGGCAGAAAATGATGCTAAGTTTTAAGAAGCTTGTAGGACAACCTAAATGCTCATACTTATTCTGTGGGCATGCACATTGGCACAATCATTATGGGAAACAGTTTTGCAGTTTCTGCTGAAGCTTTTCACATGGTATTCTATGATCCATCAATTTCCCTCCTAGTTATATATAGCCAACAGAATTGTATACTTGTGTTCAGAAGGTATACAATAATAATCTTATTATAAAGAAGTACAAACTAGAAACTATCCAAGTGCCTATGAACAGAACAAATGAATTATTAAAATACTATACAGCAATAAGAATAAAGGAACCAGGGCAGGTGGCTCATGCCTGTAATCCCAATGCTTTGAAAGGTGAGGCAGGAATATCAATAGAGGCCAGGAATTCGAGACCAGCCTGGGCAATGTAGTGAGACTCCCTCTCTATAAAAATTACCAAAAATTAGCCAGGCATGGTAACGTACATCTGTAGTCCTAACTACTTGGGAGGCTGAGGCAGGAGGATGCTTGAGCTTAAGAGTTTGAGGCTGCAGTGAGTTATGATCATGCAAATGTACTCCGGCCTAGGCAGCAGAGCAAGACTCCATCTCAAAAAACAACAAAACAAAAAAACCCGAAATGTCTACTGTTAGAAGCTAGGACAGTGTTACTCTTGTAGGAAGGCAGTGCCTTGGAAGTCAGCTGAGGAGCAGAGGAGGAAGCAGGGAATCTGCATTGCTGGTAATTTTCTATTTCTTTTCTTTTCTTTGAGGTAGGGTTTCTGTCACCCAGGCTGGAGTACAGTGGCGCAATCATAGCTCACTATAACCTTGACTTCCTGGGCTCAAGAATCTTCCTGCCTCAGCCTCCCAAGTAGTTAGGACTAAAGTTGTGTGCCACCATGCCTGGCTAATTTTTGGTAACTTTTGTATAGAGGGGGTCTCGCTACATTGCCCAGGGTAGTCGAACTCCTGGCCTCTACTGATCCACCTGCCTCACCCTTCAATGTACTGGGATTATGGGCATGCGCCACCTGGCCTGGTTCCTTTATTCTTATTGCTATACAGTACTTAATTAATTAGTTTATCTGTTCCAGGAGGTATTCTATATATATATATTTTTTTTTTTGAGAGACAGGGTCTCGCTGCTCTGTCACCCAGGATGGAGTGCAACTGCACAATCATAGCTCACTGCAGCCTCAAACTCTTGAGCTCAAGCATCCTCCTGCTTCAGCGTCCCAAGCAGGTCTACAGGTTTGCACCATCACACCTGGATAATTTTTTAATTTTTTGTAGAGACAGCATCTTGCTATGTTTTCCCAGACTGATCTCAAATTCCCAGGCTCAAGAGATCCTCCTGCCTCGGCTCCCAAAGTGCTGAGACTATAGGGGCATTAAGACACTGCACCCAGAAGAATATGAACTTTTATACAAATATAAAAGGCCATAACAAAAAGTTGCATTTCCTGAAAAACTTCCAATGGAATCCAAATCTGTTTCATCATCCTTCTGAAACATACTCATCTTCCTCAATAAAGTTAAACACAACCACAAGTTAACTATTACCACATGCAAAGATTTAGATTGCTGAAAGATTAATAATGATTACTTTTAAAAAATTTTATGAATTGTGGTTAAAACCCTTTAACATGAACTACTCTGTGGGCACATTATGCAGTATATCTCTATAATTTAGTACTTACTCTTGTTTTATCGAACAGTTCTGAAACTTTGAGAAAAAACCTGAAAAGGAAAATATTTTCATCACATGCTACATTCGAAGTAATTTTCCATTTCAAATGCATAAGAATATGCTCCCAAACCATATTAACAATGAATACTTTCTCTCATTATAATTATATTCAACAGCCTTATTAACTGCAGGCTTCAGTTAGTTTGACAAAAACCCCTCTGTACTTCTAACAATAAAACAGATTACTTGACATCTGTTTACAGATAGAGTATCTGTACCTTTTTCTCACTCTGTTGCCCAGGCTAGAGTGCAGTGGCCCAGTCTTGGCTCACTGCAACCTCTGCCTCCTGGGTTCAAGCAATTCTCCTGCCTCAGCCTCCTCAGTAGCTGGAATCACAGGCACCGGCCCCCATGGCTGGCTACTTTTTAAATTTTTAATAGAGACAAGTTTTCACCTGGTTAAAAATTAGCCAGGTGTGGTGGTACACACCTGTAGTCCTAGCTATTCAGGCGTCTAAGATGGAAGGATGGCTTGAATCCAGGCTGGTCTTAGATTCCTAACTTCAAGTGATCTGCCTGCTTCAGCCTCCCAAATTGCTGGGATTACAGGTGTGAGCCACTGCGGGGTCACATTTCATTTTAAAATGACAGTCTAAGCCTTACATTAAACACAGTTCTGTTGTTGAGACTGAGTCTCGCTCTGTTGCCCTAGCTGAAGTGCGGTAGCACGATCTCGGCTTACTGCAACCTCTGCCTCCTGGGTTCAAATGATTCTCCTGCCTCAGCCTCCTGCGTAGCTGGGATTACAGGTGCCCACCACCATGCTTGGCTAATTTTTGTATTTTTAGTAGAGACAGGGTTTCGCCATGTTGGCCAGGTTGGTCTCAAACTCCTGACCTCAAGTGATCTGCCCACCTTGGCCTCCCAAAGTGCTGGGATTACAGGCATGAGCCACCATGCCTGGCCAACAAAATTTATCTTGATACATTTTAGCAAACAGGCTGAGGCAAGCAGACCACCTGAGGCCAGGGGCTCGAGACCAGTATGGGCAACACAGTGAAACCCTGTCTCTACTAAAAATACAAAAAATTAGCTGGGCATGGTGGTGCAATCCCGTAATCAAAGTACTGTTTAATAGTCTGGTGCTGGGATATTTTTAAATTGATATCAGCATTTGACAGATAAACTATTTAGTTAAACGTAAAAATAAATTCTTTTTTTTTTTTTGAGATGGGGTATTGCTCTGTCACTCAGCTCTGAAGCAAACCTGTGGGTCCCAGCTACTCAGGAAGCTAAAGCAGGAGGATCACTTGAGCCCAGGAGTTCAAGGCTGTAGTGCTCTATGACTGCATCTGTCAACAGCTACTGTACTCCAGCCCGGCCACACAGCAAGACCCACCTCTCAAAAAAAGGGTGCAGGTTGGAGTATTCTATAAAATATGTAATTAAAATGACATTATAAATGAATTAGGGCAAATACTACTCAAAGCAAAAACAATTTTATGAACTTTGCTTTAAAGAACTTGCTTTGACAGATTTACTTTAGAGAACAGATGGCAAGGTTGACTTTTCTTCCCGATGAGTTGAGAATTAACTCTTTGGGAAGGTGGCATGTTAATTAGCGTAAGCTATCATACCTCGCTTTGATGAAAAGCTTGACTTTTAAATATCTGAGACAGAAAATATCAGAATATACTAAAGAAAAGGTCAAGGATGTGGTTTAGAGAAAGGCATAGACTATGAAAATAGTTTTCCTGCTTAAAAATATGTTTTTTATTTTTTTGAGACTAAGTCTTTCTCTGTTACCTGGGATGGAGTGCAGTGGTGTGATCTCCACTCACTGCAACCTCTACCTCCCAGGTTCAAGTGATTCTGATGTCTCAGCCTCCTGAGTAGCTGGGATTACAGGTGTGCACCACCATATCTGGTTAATTTTTGTGTTTTTAGAGGTGGAGTTTTGCCATGTTTCCAGGCTGGTCTTGAACTCCTGGGCTCAAGTGATCCACCTGCCTTGACCTCTCAATGTGTTGGGATTATAGGCGTAAGTCACTGCACCCAGCCTAAATTTAAATTTTATTTTATTTTACTCTATTTTAGAGAAGGAGTCTCTGTCGCCTAGGCTGGTCTCAAACTCCTGGGCTCAAGTAATCCTCCTGCTTCAGCCTACAAAAGTGCTAAGATTACAGGTACAAGGCACCATCCCCAGCTAAATGATTTTTCAACTGAGAATTAGATTAAGGGCCCAATTGAGAATTAGATTTACGAGTGGCCTGGGTGACTTTCACCTATAATCCTAGCACTTTGGGATGCCGAGGCGAGTGGACCGCTTGAGATCAGGAGTTCGAGACCAGCCTGGGTAACATGGCAAAACCCTGTCTCTACAAAAAATACAAACATTAGCCAGGCATAGTGGCTCATGCCTGTGGTCTCAGCTGCTTGGGAGGCCGAGGTGAGAAGATCGCTTGAGTCCAGGAGGTAGAAGTCGCTATGAGCCGAGATCACAACACTATACTCCAACCTGGGTTAACAGAGCAAGATTCTGTCTCATAAATAAATAAGTTTGGTTTAAACAGTATTATAAGAGCAACTAAAATTAACTGCAGTTAGATTTAAAGTGAAAGGTTAACATCAAGTAAATAAAAAACAGCCGTGTAAGCAATCTTTCAAGGAGCTTTTCCATATTCCCATAAATAATACCTGCTACACTGGTTTGTCTGAGGATTTCCCTAGATACACTCAACCATAAACTCTAGGCTGGGTGCAGTGGCTCAAGCCTGTAATGCCAGCACTTTGAGAGGCTTAGGTGGGCAGATCACCTGAGGTCAGGAGTTGGGAGACTGCCCTGGCCAACATGGTGAAACCTGCTACTATAAAAACACAAAAATTAGCTGGGTGTGCACACCTGTAATCCCAGCTACTTGGGTGGCTAAGTCACAAGAATTGCTTGAACCCAGGAGGTAGAAGTTGCAGTGAGCCAAGATCACGCCACTGCACTCCAGCCTGGGTGCCAAAGACAGACATTGTTTCAAAAAGCAAAAACAAAAACTGGACAAGCACAGTGGCTCACGCCTGTAATCTCAGAACTTTGGGAGGCCGAGGCAGGCAGATCACCTGAGGTCAGGAGTTCAACACCAGCCTGGCCAATGCAGTGAAACCCTGTCTCTACTAAAAATACAAAAATTAGCCAGGCATGGTGATGGCATGTGTGTAATCCCAACTATTGGGGAGGCTGAGGCAGGAGAATCACCTGAACCTGGCAGGTGGAGGCTGCAGTGAGCCAAGATTGCACCACTGCACTCCAGCCTAGGTGACAGAGTTAGACTCTGTCTCAAAACAAATACCAAACAGAAATAAAAACAAAACAAAATAAAACAAAAAACCAGAATAGCCAGCCTCTTTACAAAGTAAAAACTGATAGCATCAAATTTTACTTTAAAAGTCAATCTGAGGTCGGGCACAGTGGCTCACGCCTATAATCCCAGCACTTTGGGAGGCCGAGACAGGTGGATCACGAGGTGAGTTCAAGATCAGCCTGGCCAACACTGCTAAACCCCATCTCTACCAAAAAACACAAAAATTAGCCAGGTGTGGTGGCAGGCGCCTGTAACCTCAGCTACTTTGGAGGCTGAGGTGGAAGACTTGCTTGAACCTGGAAGGAGGAGGTTGTAGCGAGCCATGATCATGAGACTGCACTCCAGCCCGGGTGACAGAGTAAAACCATGTCTCAAATCAAAAACAAAAACAAAAAACAAAACAAAACAAAGTATTGTGTGCATCTAGGCTGCCAACAAAAATTTTTCTCTGCTTTATTTATATTTCATATATAAATATATATTTTTTTTCTTTTTTTCCATTTGTTTTTTTTTTTTTTGATTGTTTTGTTTTTGGCACCCAGGCTGGAGTACAGTGGTGCATTCTCAGCTCACTGCAACCTCCACCTCCCGGGTTCAAGCGAGTCTCCTGCCTTAGCCTCCCAAGTAGCTGGGATTTCAGGCACCCACTACTATACCCAGCTAATTTCTGTATTTTTGGTAGGGAAGAGGTCTCACCATGTTGGCCAGGCTGGTCTGGAATTCCTGACCGCAGGTCATCTGCCTGCTTCCTAAAGTGCTGGGATTACAAGCGTGAGCCACCAACTCCAGCCTATTTTATTTTTTTTGGAACAGTGTCTCACTCTGTCACCCAGGCTGGAGTGCACTGGCGTGATCTCAGCTCACTGCAACCTCTGCCTCCAGGTTCAGGTGATTCTCGTGCCTCAGCCTCCCAAGTAGCTAGCTGGGATTACAGGCACATGCCACCCACACTTGGCTAATTTTTGTGTTTTGTGGTAGAGATGGGGTTTAGCAATGTTGGCCAGGCTGGTCTCGAACTCCTGACCTCAGGTGATCCACCTGCCTTGGCCTCCCAAAGTGCTGGGATTACAGGCATGAACCACTGTGCCCAGCTATATTTCATGTTTTAAATTAGAATACTTACTTGCATATATCTGTAGAATCCTGAGTTCCTAAAGCATATAATGAAGAACCAATTCTATTGTAATCATCTGCAGCACCTAAGGAGAAAGTTTTAAGAATTTAGTATACCTATTCATTGATTTAAAAATACTTACTGAGCTCTTACCTGTTACACAACGTGTAATATGAGACACTCTAGTAAACAAAATGACACAAACAATCAGCATGGTGGCTCATGCCTGTAATCCCACAACTTTGGGAGGCTGGGGCAGGCAGATTACCTGAGGTCAGGAGTTTGAGACCAGCCTGGCCAACATGGTGAAACCCTATCTCTACTAAAATTACAAATATTAGCCAGGTGTGGTGGCGCACACCTGCAATCCCAGCTACTAGGGAGGATGAGGCAATCACTTGAACCCAGGAGACAGAGGTTGCAGTGAGTTGAGACTGTGCCACTGTACTCCAGCCTAGGCGACAGAGCAAGACTCCGTCTCAAACAAACAAAAAAACAAATTGGAAAGCAAGAAGTATAACTTTCTTCATTAGTAGATGTGACATGATTATCTACGTAGAAAATCTGGGCCAGGAATGGTGGCTCACGCCTGTAATCCAAACACTTTGGAAGCCAAGGCGAGCGGATCACCTGTGGTCAGGAGTTCAAGACCAGCCTGATCAACATGGTGAAACCCCGTCTTAAAAAAAAAATCCTAAGGAATCTACAAAATAGTTACTACAACTAATAAATGAGTTTATTTAGCAAGGTTGCAGGATATAAGATCAATATGGAAAAAATATGCCACATTTCTATATATTAGCAAAGAATAAATTGAAATTGAAATTTTTGTTTGAGATGGGGTCTTACTCTCACCAGGCTGGCGTGCAGTGGCGTGATCTCCGCTCACTGTAACCTCCGACTCCCTGGTTCAAGCAATTCTCCTTTCTCAGCCTCCCAAGTAGCTGGGATTACAGGCATGCCCAACCATGCCCAACTAATTTTTTTATTTTCAGTAGAGATGGAGTTTCATCATGTTGGCTGGGTTAGTCTCAATCTCTTGACCTCATGATCCACCCACCTCAGCCTCCCAAAATGCTAGGATTACAGGCATGAGCCACTGCGCCTGGTCCTGAAACTGAAATTTTTTAAAACATAACTTTTATTTATTTGGAGACAGGGTCTCACTCTGTTGCCCAGGCATGAGCGTGGTGGCATGATCATGGCTCACTGCAGCCTCAAGCTCCTGGGATCAGGTGATCCTCCCTGCTCAGCCTCCCAAGGTGGTATCACAGGCACATGCCACCATAGGTGGCAAATTTGTTTTTGTTTTTTGGCAAAGGAGGGACATGGCCTGACTCTGTCACCCTGGCTGCAGTGCAGTGGTGGGATCTTGGCTCCTCCCATGCCTCAGCCTTTTGAGTAGCTGGGACTACAAGGGCACGCCACCATGCCCAGCTAATTTTTAAATTTTTAGTAGAGACGAGGTTTCATCGTGTTGGCTAGGCTGGTCCCAAACTCCTAACTTAAGGTGAGCTGCTTGCCTTGGCCTCCCAAAGCTCTGGAATTACAGGCATGAGCCAACACGCCCAGCCTATTTTTTTTTTTTTTTTTTTTTTTTTTTTTTGCAAAGATTAGGTTTTGCCATGTTGCTCAGGCTGGTCTCGAACTCCGGAGCTCAAGTGATCCACCTGCCTTAGCCTCCCAAAATGCTGAAATCACAGGTGTGAGTCACTGTGCCCAGCCTAAAAACTCATAACATTTATAATAGCATCAAAAACCAAATAATCAGGAACCAGTCTGACTAAAGATGTACAAGACCTGTACAATAAAAACTACAAAACACTGTTGAGATAAATTAACTAAGACTTAACTAAGTGGAGATATATTAATGTATCAGAAAGATCAGTATTATTAAGATTTCAATTCTTTCCAAATTAATCTATAGAATCTACACAATCCCAATCAAAATCCCAGCAGGCACTTGCATAAAAAAAGAAAACTGATTCTAAAATTCACATGAAAATATAAAGATTCTCAGGCTGAGGGTAGTGGTTTATGCCTGTAATCTGTCCCCTCCTTTGGGAGGCGGAGGCAGATGGATCACTTGAGGTCAAGAGTTTGAGACCAGCCTGGCCAACATGGTAAACTCCATCTCTACTAAAAATACAAAAATTAGCCAGGTGTGATGGCATGCATCTGTAGTCCCAGCTGCTCGGGAGGCTGAGGCATGAGGACTGCCTGAACCCAAGAGGCAGAGGCTGCAGTGAGCCAAGATCACACCACTGCACTCCAGCCTCTAGCCTGGGTGACAGAGTGAAATTCTGTCTCCAAAAAGAGAGAGAGAGAGAGAGAGAGAGCGAGCGAGAGAGAGAGGAGACCAGAGGCCGAACTTGGGTTCTAATAAGATGGCCGGGCTGCCCCACAGGATCATCAAGGAAACCCAGCGTTTGCTGGCAGAACCAGTTCCTGGTATCAAAGCAGAACCAGATGAGAGCAACACCCATTATTTTCATGTGGTCACTGGTGGCTCTCAGAATTTCCCCTTTGAGGGAGGGACTTTTAAACCTGAACTATTCCTTCCAGAAGAATACCCAAAGGCAGCACCTAAAGTATGTTTCATGACCAAAATTTATCATCTAATGCAGACAAGCTGGGAAGAATATGTTTAGATATTTTGAAAGGTAAGTGGTCCCCAGCACAGCAGATCTGCACAGTTCTGTTATCAAGCCAGGGCTTGTTAAGTGCTCTTAATTCAGAAGATCCATCAGAAAATGATGTAGTGGAGCAGTGGAAGACCAATGAAGCCCAAGCCATAGAAACAGCTATCGCATGGACTAGGCTATATGCCATGGATAATATTTAAATTGATCCGATTATGAAGTGTGCATCACCTCTCTTGTTCTGCTAGGACTTCTTCTTTTTGTTTGCATTTAATGGACACAGTCTTATAAACATTACAGAATAAAAAAGCCCAGACATCTTCAGTCTTTTGGTGATTAAATGCATGAAAGAAAGAAGAAAAAGAAAGAAAGAAAAGAAGAAAGGAAGGAAGGAAGGAGGGAGGGAAGAAAGGAGAGAGAGAGAAAGAGAGAAAGGAAAGAAAGAAAAGAAAAAGAGAGAAAGAAAATAAAGGAGGGAGAGAGGGAGGAGGAAGGAAGGAAGACGGAAAGGAAGAGAGAGGAAGGGAAGGAAAGGAAAGGAAGGAAGGAGAGAGGGAGGTAGGGAGGGAAGAAAACAGACTCTAGGTCTGGGGCGGAAGGAAGGAAGGAAGGAGGGAGGGAGGGATGGACAGAGGGAGGGAGGGAGGGAGGGAGGGAGGGAAGGAAGGAAGGAAGGAAGGAAGGAAGGAAGGAAGGAGAAAAAAATAGATTCTAGGGCTGGGGGCAGTGGCTCACACTTGTAATCTCAGCAATTTGGGAGGCTGAGGTGGGCGGATCACTTCAAGCCAGGAGTTCGAGACCAGCCTGGGCAATATGGCAAAACCCCATCTCTAATAAAAATACCAACATTAGCTAGACATGATGGCACACACCCGTAATCCCAGTTACTTGGGAGGCTGAGGCACAAGAATCACTTGAATCCAGGAGACAGAGGTGGCAGTGAGCCAAGATCATGCCACTGCACTCCAGCCTGGATGACAAAGTGAGAGACTGTCTCAAAAAAGAAATTGGAGGCTGAGCACAGTGGCTCATGCCTGTAATCCCAGCCCTTTGGGAGGCCAAGATGAGAGAACTCCTTGAATCCAGGAGTTCAAGACTAGCCTGAGCAACTTAGCAAGACCCTGTCTCTATCCCCATCCCCAACAACAACAACAAAAATTAGCCAGGCATGGTGGCATACGCCTGTGGTCCCGGCTACTCGGTAGGCTGAGATGGAAGGATCGATTGAGGCAGCAGTGAGCCGTGTTTGCACCAATACACTCATCCTGGGTGACAGAGCAAGACCCTGTCTCAAAAACAAAAACAAGAATAAAGCTGAAGGAAGGACACAGAAAAGATGTTGAACTTCAATAGCCGTTAGAACAGTAGAAATCTA